CTACAAACGTAATACACAAGGCATAGGATGTTGGAGAATTCATTTTCAATCCAACTCTACCACGTATGTCATCTGCGACTATGGGGAAATAAATCTTTCTACTACGGTGGGTTTTTTCACTTGTTAAATAGTGATAACAACACTGTACATGGCTCCTCTAACCCAAATGACTCCAGAGTAACGTTAGTTTTCCATGAATGGAGAACTCCTGAAGTGGGGAGAGAGCTAGAGTTTCTGAGAGTGAAGGGCACAAAAGTGGTTCCTATTAAAAGAAATGGATTTGGAAGGGCAGAGTGGCCAGCCCCTCGGCAAGGCTGGGTCACAGCGAGGAGTAAGAGGTTACAGCCCTAGGCCGATAGCAAGACCTTTCTGTTCCTTTCCCAGCTCTCCTCAGTGTGTATTTGTGTCTGTGTGTGCTTACGTGTTGTGACATTTTCCAGCACAACCCGCATTCAAATCATTCTGTCCTATTTTGAGTACTTGGGTCAGAACATGTATCTGAATTTTTGCTTTAGAAAATCTCACTGTTTAAATAGTGAACAATATTAGGCCACTCGATACTGTTCATTCTCTCATGTGTGGATGAGCGCTTGACTGCCTGAGAATGGTTTTCTACTCTTGACTCTTCAGGAAAAGAGGCTGAACTCTCTAGAAAAGACACAGGAGAACGGTTAGCTTTGCTGTGGTGCCCCCTACTGCCGATGAGACTAGACTCACTTTCTGTATTTGCCAATATACAGACCACATAGGAGGAGCAAAATTTGGAGAAGCAACAATTTTGGTAATTGTTCCTGTATTTTCTTTGGCATAGAATGGGATGAAGCGTGTCCCCTCAGTGTAATTCACAAGGCCCTTTGTGATCTGCCCCCGCCTGGATTTGCAGCCTCATCGCTGTCGCTTTCCCCCAGGAACACTCAACTTCAGCTATTCTAAGCTGGCAGTTCTGCCCCCTCCCCGCCCACTCATCTGTTTATAGAATTTCGACTCCTTCTAACACCAGCTGAAGCAGTACCTCTCCCCAGGTTGTCCTGACTCTCCAGAAGGCTGAGGCAGCCCTCCGCCTCTTCTCGTCTTCCCATCGTCGCTTGAGTGTGTCGCCGCGTGTCTGTCACTCTTTTGCCCCCACCCTGCATCTTGACTGTGAGTTTAAGGAGTTTGAAAACCTTCTCCAATGAATGTTTGTATCCCCGGTGCCTCAAGTGGTACCTGGCGCAGGTAAACACTCATTGGAATGAATCTGAGTAAGGATGCTTTGATTGACAGTAGAAAGAACCCTAGTCTAGGAGTCAGGAGTTTCTGGCTAATTAGCTAAATGATCATGAGCAATTCACCTACCCTCTCCGGCTTTCTCTTTTCTTATCTGTAAACAGACTGTGTCTAATACCTGCTCAAACATCCAGTGATTCTATATGTTTTTGCCAATATCTCCTCTAAGAGCCTCAAAATACCTTATAACAAATCGGTTCAATACTTCAGATGTTTCCTTTTAATTCTCAAAGATTTGCTTATAAAAAGAAAACTCAAATGCATTTGAAATTATCTTATTTGTATGTCTGTCATCATGAAAAGAATTTCTAAAAACTTATTAGACTGCATAGAGACATTTAAATTTAGCTAATCTGAAACAAGATTTTTCAGGCAAACTCTTCTTTCTTTTGCTAAATGATACAACGAAAAGTCCAAGTTATAGCCTGAAACTTCATGAAGAAACTGTAAATTCTAATTCTGGCTCTCATTGATACAAAACTGGTGGAATCTAGACCTTTCACAGTGAGATTTGCTGACAAAATGTCACTAAAAGCCCTCATACAGTTAAGGGCTGTGATAAAGGTGATACAGATCTCGAAAGAGCCAGGCTTCAATAAAGCTTCTCACCTTAGAAGTCAGGTTTTTTCTGCCATTTTTCCCTAGCTGAAGTTCCAGGTAAGACTGGAAACCTGGCACTTTAAGTGGCGGTCCCAATATAATATCCAAACAGCATGTATTGGTTTGGGTGCCCAAAACAGTCAATTTTATAATCGTGTCATGAATATTCTTCTAGAGCATTCATTTTTCCCCTTTCTACATAACATGTTTTGCTAAATAACACAGAATAGGTTATTTATATATGTACAGAGTATGTAAGTATATATGTGTAAATTTGATTTCCACCAAGTCCCTTCTTAAGAGCAGGAAATCCATAAGCTTAAATATAAAAATCCATTAGCTCACATCTTGTTTCCCAAGTCTTCATACCCATTCTATGAATATACGAACTACATACTCAAGGGATATTGAGCTGGAAGAGATCTTACTGATCATCTGATGTAACCACCTCATGTTACAGATGAGAAAATCAAGGCCCAAAGAGGAAAGTGAATTATATGAGGAGTGGGTAAGGTCTTTTTCCCCAGCATCTCAAAAACAAAAGCTTATACTTTCCAAGACTTAACCCAGTGGGGAGAAAACAGAGGTTACTAAACAAACTTGAATGAAAGGAAAGTTGACTGCCAAAGGAGTTTCATAGCTATGTCTGTATTTACAGAGCCATCCATGCAGACACTTATTTTATAAAGCTAAAAATTAAAACTAAGACATAAGGAAAAAAGTATTATTATCTTCCAAATACCTTTCTCTTGCAATAGAAGAGATCCCATTTACTTGGGTAAATGATGAGCATTTCAGCTCTATTTGACCTCCAATACCCATCACCGTGACATTATGTCGTATAAAACTACAGGTTTGATTTGCACCAACACATCGACACCTCCCCCATCCTTCAATAATAATTCCAAATATTCTTGTAGATGAGTTCTAAAAAGTTACTAGTCTATGTCCACTTTTTCAATAGCTACTCTACAACCTTCTCTCTCTCTCTCTCTGACACACACACACACACACACACACACACACACACGCCAATGCCAACACTACCACAAACACTATTGGATCAGGTTCTGGGGAAAACACACACAACCCACAACTTGTCTATGCTATCCTTCCCATAATAAAGTGCAAATAATAAATATGAAATTAAATGTAAGGACCCATTGTGCCGCTCCAGGTCTTATAACAATATAAGAAATTACATTAGCTGAAATAGTCTAGCTAGAAATAAGAAAAAATAAAATAAAATTAATGTCAGTTAAAGAATTTCAAATATCTGAGCCAAAAAAAGTTTCTGTATCCAGAGCATATGGGAGCATGTTTCTCAAGCAAACAGCTCAAACATACCTTCAATGTCTTTGCTTCCATTTTTGCTCTAGGACTACAGAAAGCTAAATGTCTCCCAGAGATCAGCTCACTGTGAATCCTAGAGTCCTAGAAACCAGCACTCAGCTTTCCTTCCCACGGCTTTCCTTCTGTCCCAGAGTTGCTGGGTGACTTTCCAGAAAGGACCCCTCTTCTCACCACCCCTTGGGTACTGATGGTCTAAGTGGTCCCAGCCACTAGCGGGTACACATTTCTGTTTCACTTTTTGCTGTCTCCTCCTCAGAGCCCTTGTGCAATTGGTTGGCCTTCACTGGGGCCCTGTGTTCTGTCTTTTTATCATCCTGCAGTGTAAGGAAATATGTAACACTGTGGTTGTTTGAAAAAGCACACTCAGGGATCCCAGATGTGGTGAACGCACTCGACAGTTCTATTTTTGGTTACTCTCTTTGTTTTCTTCTTGGAAGAGCCTCATTCTCTTCTATGTCTTGGGCATCCTGCCATGGACACGTTACTCCGCCCCCACATCCTCTCCCCAAATCACCTATTTTAATTTCACCCAAAGGGCTCTGCATGGAGAAGTGAACTTGTGATGTGGGGAGGGGAGGATGGGTGTGTTGTTCTACTAACTGGTGGGCAGACCTGAGCGTGACACCAGCTACACTTCTGGAATTTGAGGACACGAGTACTCTCTGCGGTACAGTGATCACAACCACACACACTCCCACCAGCCTCCCTGCACTGAAAACCCCTATTTCCTGTAGGCAGAAACAAGCCCAGGCATTTGCCAGGACTATTCATCCTGGTTTAACTTGAGGTACTCAGTCTCTGAAATGACCATCAAAAATAAAAGTTCCTATTGTCTGATCATTATCAGGGAGAGCTTTTTCTAACCCAAAGCAACCAGCCAGGAAAACAAGAATCGGATTAGCCCCACACAGGAACGCTGAGTTGGTATAAACTTATTTTCTTTTCAGTGGCATCTCCTGCAGTGAAGAATATCCTTAAAGACCTAACCATGTTTGTATATCTGAGCCAGTGAATAAGGAAAAAAAATGTAAAAGGAAAAGCTGTGGGAGAAGAATAAAGAGCACAAAAAAATGGAAAGAATATTTTAATTAAGTGAGGAAAATACTAGAAAGATGATCACCTACTGCATGATGTATTGAATACAGTGGGAAAAAGACAAAGCGATGTCTTTAGGTTATGTTTGGTGGGAATACACTATGAGAACCAATATCTGAGTAAATCACTGGGGTAAATGGATGGACACGTAGGCTTGCGCACGTGTGAGCACACATCGCTGCCATTAAAATGCAAGGTTAGCTATTTTAAAGGAACGTAATATGGATACCTTCAGCATTCTTTGAAAAGCAAATCTCCTTGTATGTCTGTGGAGTTTATGAATATGAAGGGAAAGTGGAACTGGTCTCTTTCCTATTTCCTTTTTACATTAATTCTCTGATCACACACATGACTAGCAGAAGGGATAGACCACGTAAACCAGGGACTGAACGCTTCAAAGTGACAGCTCATAAAGGAATACCAGGATTCTTGCATTGCAAAGAAAAAGAAAAAAAAAATCTAGAAGCAGTGCCTGTCCCCTACCACCGCTACCGCTGAAAAGAAGGAAGGAAAGGAGAGACAGAAGGGTGTTTAACCACACTTTACAATCTCTGGGGGGAAGAGGGGGATGCGGGAGCTAAACAATTATGGCATCGGATTATTTTCAAGTGACTGTTTGCAGCTGCCGTCAGCACGAGCTGAAAGGAAAAAAGCGCCCAGTGGTGCATCTTACCTGAGGAGCAAACAAGTGCAGGCAGATGTACGCGAGGCACAGGAGCAGCCCCAGCCCCTGGATTGCAGAGGCCACCAGCAATAGCTTGCTCTTCTCGAATCTTGGCCTGGGCGTGTTTCCCACATTCTCAGCCAGGGGTTGGACCCCTTCCATCTTCACAATCTGGATGCAGGGAAGATGAAGATGCGGCAAAGGGAAACCTGGGGGAAGACGTTAGTCTTCCCCACAAAGGAGGAGATAAAGGCAAAACAAAGCCTATCAATCAGAAAATAGGCAAAGGTCCCAGGACCAGAGATAAAAGGCGATTGAAAGAGCACAGAAAACTCTCTCAGTTTTAACTCTGCAACTTTTGCAGGCAGGCGGGGGAACTTCTTTGTGACTAATCTGAATTTCCCCTTTACTTTCTTTCTTTTTTTTTCTCTGGGCTAACAGGGAGTTGTTTTTGTGGCATTCCAGTTCTGATTTGAGTGACTGTGAAATGACAGTCACAAAAGTGTGCTATTTTGTTAATTTCTCATTGCACCAGTAACAAATTGTGGGTCACTCGATAAAGATAAAAAGTCATAATCCGTTAATGTAGGAGCACATAGATCCCGTCTCCAAGGTGTCGTAAATCACAGGAGACAGGTAAGGAAAATGTTGCCGAAGGCTCTTGTCTGCACTTTATTATGTAACTAAACACTGAACCCTTTTTCTAGATTCAGAAAGAAAGCACACACAGACCATTCTTGAAGTGAAAAAGACAAAAAAAGAAAACAGGATGGTGGATCATGTAGAAATAAAGGAGTGAGGTCCTCTAGTCATAATCCATGACATTAAAATAAACAAACTAGCATTTTTGAGCATCTACTGTGTCAGACACTGTGCTTAGACAATCTTGCGATCTTTTTCTCATTTTCAGGTAAATTCAGTAAACAC